GGGCTTGAACCCTCGACCTCCCGCACAAGAGTCCGGTGCTCTACCAATTGAGCTAACCAGGAGGCGGGTTACGGCCCATGCATGAGTGTCTTTCAACCTCCTCACCTTTTAACACCTCTACTTACTTACTCAGGAGCTGTTCTACGAATTGCAGTCTGGTGAGTTCAGGTTCAAGTCTAACACTCTGTAAATGAAGCTTGCTCAGTATCCCCGTGTCATTGGGCGTTCGTGTTTATAACTGATTAGCCAGCTGGTTCAGTAAGTTTACGGACAGACCGATCGACTGAGTGACCGATTGAGTAACTGTCCGACTGACTTGCTATCGCTCCGTCTTCACATGCAAGATGCCTGTGTTTTCACTCGATACGCTTGTCTATTAATCATTTCGATTTTTTCTTGAAAAGTTGACAAACTGAACTATTTACCTTCCTTGATTCAACAGTGATAGGCCGGTTCTTGGATATTGACCACCTAACCTCCATGTGTGTTCAGCTTCCCAAGCAAGAAACAGTAAAAACAGCAGAATCCAAAATCACCACTGTTATCTATCTGAAACACACACTGGAGCTTATCGAGCCTTTAAGAATGTCTCTTCAGGATACAGAGGCGGACCTTTTCAAAGCTTATTACGAGGTACAATACTGAGGGCGAGATAAACATGCTAGTCGAAGTCGTCGAGCTGAAAACCGTCAGCTTAGATAAGGACCTTTGCACAGACAAGTTTCTGTTAGAAAGAGTGAATTTGATAAATCATTTAATCAGCTAGTTTTATTTCATTTCCCACAGTCACTCAATGAGAGTAGATTTGCGACTATCATACAGAGTATTCAGACTGTCATACATGACGACACCCGGTATCAGAAAGGAACTCTCAACATGAGGACTCAGAAATGCTTTGCTGTTAAGGTATAGGTATAGGCCAGGTCTCCTCAGCATAGACTCAAGCAAAGACACCGATTTCGCATTAAGGACATGCTTTTAAAGTTATTTTCAATGCACTTCAGTTTCCTGAGGACGATCTTAAATTAATTAATTCGTAAATAATAATTCTGTGTCACACGTTCAACCCCTTTTGTCAGCGTCTGCTCGTCATTCAACAAAACTTTGAGCAAGATTCAATGTAAATTAATCCGAGGATACCTGGGGTATAGAGTCTAAAAATGCAAATAGGGGGATTTCAGGGGATTAAGGCCAACATAATGGTTTTTTTTTCTCACCTTGATCTTCTCTGGGAACGGATTGATTCACAGTTTTAATCTTCCTTTTTTGATGGCGGAATCATTTCCTGCACTACTGGGGATATTTTTTAAGGGATCCTTTTTAAATCAAAGCATTTCTCGAATTTTTTTGCATTGGACTTTACTTTGAGTAGGTTCGAACTAACTGCCTCGCACATATTATACTTATTTTTGTCTTCATTTTCCTTTTTTTCCAAAAAACAAAAAACAATTTGAAACATGGATGAAAGCCTCATATAAACGGTAAGATCCGCCACCATCCTAGTGTATCCTAATTGAATCAATACATTGTATGACTTTCAATTTTGACCCAGATAAAAACTTTCTGGTACAGACTCCAGTTTTTGGACTTTTACCCATTGAAGATTCTTTGCAGGCCTGCTAGACGTCGCCAGAAGAACGTACACTGAGATTGTTGATGATATAACTGGTAGGTTAATGAGAACTGTATTTCTTACACCATACAAAAAATAATTCAACACATATAGCATGACTTATAAAAGCATGTTTGAAAGTAAGATTCATTTTAAAACACGATGCTGTTTTCGTCTTGCATCTGCCAGCGATTTGATTACACAGTATCTATCAGAACTTTGGAATCTTGTCGGATTCAGGCCTCGTTTTGAGTCCTGTGTGCTCTTGGTACATGTATACGTCATGTTCTATCCTTTGGCAACCGCTGGGTTATATGTGTCTGTAATCTACAACATAAGTTATTCGTGAATTTAGAGATGATCAAGCAGTTGGGGGAAAGGCACAACCTACCCCTCAAAACTGGTTTCAACGGCACCAAGGGGTTTTTTGTGCAACTGATGCTTAACCGAGATGAACATATTGACTTGAAAGCGCTGCCTAATGAGTTCCTTAAGGCAACGAAGGTCAGAAGTGCGGTGTGCTTCACCACGGTAGATCTGGTCAGTATGAATAAAAAATAGTCTCCATTTAGCGCGAAAATATGCAAGGAATTTGTCCACAGACATTATCTGTTTTAAGATGCGAACAGTTTTCCGAGTGTGAAGCTCGAGAATAACTTTGAGCTACGAGGAACAGATTATGTACAAGGACAAATATAAGGGCATTTTTTCACACAAATCAGAGATTAATGTGTTTATTATCCCACAAATATTTTGCAACGCGCGTCAAAAAAATGTTTACGAACAGCTTACTGTTTTCTACGTGGGATATTTTCTTCTGAGTGTTCTCTGGTACGACGTTATGAACAAACAAATATTTTCCTTCTTCTGTAACAAGCACTGGACGCTTTCTCATCTTTGAATAAATTTTTAACGAAGACTTATCGTTGTGGACGTAAGGTTTGAAATTGGTGAATATCATCTAGGTGATATCCATGGATACCCCCGGTTTTAGCTGGGAGATATTCATCGATGTGACACATTTAGACAAATTACGTGCGAGCTAAAATTTCTGGTGGATAATAGGTCATAGATATCCTAAAGGAAAATTTGATTCTCTCTAATTTTTTTTGTTTTGTTTAACCTGAGATCTTATTATTATTTTCCTTACTACTTCACTGGTTTCTTTTTCGTCGAAAGCGAACTCATTGTTCGGTAGAAAGGAAGAAGAGTACTTATACGAGATGAACTTAAAATTAGATGATTTTGCCACAGTTATATATGCCTGAATTAAAAAAATCTCAGTCAATTACGATGTCTAGCTATGCTGATTATTGCAGCTACTGATTTTCATTTCTTTCACCCTCGCTGCTTCCATCAATGACTTTAGATAAAGCTTAATGGTAAGTTCTTTAGTCTTTTTAAACATGACTTGAGCATTTAATCTCTTGGTGGCAGTTACAATATTTTAAGGGAGTCTCAATTTCTTATCATAGACAGGATAAAGGAGTCTTTGAACGAAATATATCTCATGACAAATGTGTAAGTCTTGTAATTTATTCGTATTAAAGTGCAGTCTTGACATTCGCTGCTTTTGCAGCCACTAGGGAATCTAGCTTACCAAAATTGATAAGTCGCCAATCTTGAATGCTACTAAGCAGTACAAAATTGATTACAATACAAGTTTTCTTATATGTTTGCAACAAGTTTCTTATGGCGTGGCTCACGGCTCCTACTTGCCGCATTACTATCGCAGTCATGATGATAGGCGTCCTTTAAGTTGTGGGAACGAACAAAATTCTTGACGGATATAATTTTGAGAGAAAAAATTATCATTTCTTTTATTATTTTTTTTTTTAACATGTACAGGGTAGTATCTGAACTTCTGGGTGAAATAAGAGAAAACGTGGGTTGCCTGTATAAACTTTCTGAGCTTGTCAGTGTGATGGACATGTTGGTTTCGTTTGCACATCTATGTACTTTGTCTGATTATGGTAGGTTTGTTCTTTCTGGTTCGTCACTAAATGTATTGTTAGTTTTCTAATTAAGTGGCACATTTTCATTTCTTTTTTAGTTCGACCAGAATTCACAGATACTTTGGCAATTAAGAATGGACGTCATCCCATTCTAGATAAAATACTTACCGAACCACCAACAGCAAATAACACGGTCAGTGTAAGAGGATAAACTGACATGTTCCCTTCAAATTTTACGACAAACCTTTTCAGGGCTCTGGATTCATCATTAGCTTCCTTATTTCCTTCACTGTAGAGCTGGTAGGCGTTTTGACAGTTTGATTCCCTATAAAAACGATAGAAAAAGAGATTTCACGGTAGAAGTAAAACTAGGTTACTCAAAGCTAATTATCCATTACGTTTCTTTTCAGTATGCCACGGAGGGATCAAATTTTCTAGTCATAACAGGACCTAACATGGTATGCACGTGTTTGGTAGATCAAATTAAACTGTTGCTTTACTTTTCAAAAATAGATACCAATGCGCCATGTTTTCTTAACTTTAGAGTGGTAAATCCACCTACCTGAAACAAATAGCGTTGCTACAAATCATGGCTCAGGTTGGATGCTATGTTCCTGCGGAATACGCTTCATTCAGAGCCGCCGATCAGATACTTTCAAGGATAGGAAGCGACGATGACATCGAAACCAATTCCTCAACCTTTACCCTTGAAGTGAGTTTCATTTACTTCGAAAGTGGGTTTCGTAAAGCTTATTGTTTCGGAAGAAAAGTATTTATATTGTATCGTAAGCTCAAAAGGCCAATAGCGTCCTGTTTTCTTTTGTTTAGATGCGAGAGATCCACTTCATCATTCAGGTGTGTTTGCATTCTTTAAATGGAAAGAGCATTTTCGTTTCCACATTTCGATGTTAAGTTTGCACGTTTGCAAGGAATGTAATGTTTATTTTCTAGAATGCCAGTGACAAGTCTTTAATCGTAATTGACGAGCTTGGAAGAGGTACATACTCAGATCCACTTTGACTTAATTTATTGTTATTACGTTGTTACTGGGGAGGAAAGCTGAGCATGTTCTGATAAGCATTCAGTATCTTTTCAACTCTTTTTATTCGCTGCGAGATTAGTATGTGTCTTCTAACCAACCGCTACCTCAATAACTACTTCAGCTCATTACTTCTTAATACGAGTTAGTGTTAGTGTCATTAAATAACGTAAAAGTAATGGTGAAAATGACTATCAATAACAACAATAAGAAGATTGACTTTAAAAGATGGATTAGTAATAAAGAGAAGAGGAGTAATGTTGACATCGAGCGCCACATTATCTTAACTTCTATCTTTTTCCAGGAACAAGCAGCGAGGAAGGAGTTGGTATTTGTTTCTCCATCGCTGAAACTCTACTGAAAAGAAAGGTAACACTCAACCTGAAGGCTAATATGAAAAAAATCAACATTGGTAGCGTTGAAATATTCCAACTGCTTTCCAAGAGCACGCATTTATCTCACTGGATAGATGAATAAAGAAACGAATAAGTAATTACAAACGTAAAATGTTCTAAGACTGGTTTAAAATGTCGGAAGCATTGCAGATTTAGGAATATGTTTGTTTCTTATTTATAGACATTTACATTCTTTGCAACACACTTCCTTGAACTGACAACGATGGATAGCTTGTACCCTAACGTAGAAAAGTGAGTAGAAAATGTACTATTTGGATATGTGACGTCGCAGCATCTCGTAACGAATATTTATAGATTGATCGGTGGGTTTAATTTGATCGACCGACTGACTGACTGACTGACTAATCACTTGAATAAGTGATTAAAGTGCTATTGTACGTAAAGCTATCCTTCGAAAAATATTTGGTTGTTATTACAATTATCATCGATATCATCATTTTCATAATTGCTACTACATGTTTACATTTGCAGCCAAAGGAATTACTGTTATTTAAATAAATACATGCATACTACTTTATAGAGGTACAACTGACATTAGTTTTTTCTCTTTACAGTTTGCATTTGAAGATCCAGGTAATTTTTTTGAACCCTAACTATACTAGGTTGGTCAGATTTAACTGAAACGGGAGTTCGTTAGCTCCCGGAGGATGATTATCATGGGAACATGATCGTTATACTAATCCTCCGCACAGGTTATTGGTAAGCATTTATCACTTGATTTATTTATCCTAACCAGAATAGTTAAATATGTTTTCAGAAGGCGTTTAGTGAAGAAGCGGCAAGTGAGAAAATAACCTACACTCACGTGGTTTCAAAAGGAAAAACAGAAGAAAAACACTATGGTGAGTATTCAATACAAAAAATTATAATCTCGAATACATATAGTAAATACAAAGAATGTGACCAGTCCTGGGCATACTAATACTCTAAAAGTACTGGCCTATAAGTGTTGCATTCATGCACATTCTTACCCCCTAATGATATTCCTAGGAATAATGCCTTGGTAATTCGCCATCCTCCACTCACGCCCCACCTATACAAGAAAAGGATTTCCTATCTTTGCATACAATCAATGTTCACTTCCTGTTGGAGTGTTAAATTTAAGAAGGACTATTTCTCAAAGTTTTAACACCTGGCAGTGAATCATTCCGGAATTCTCCACCCTCAGCACAGTCGCGCGTGACCAGAAGGCTTCCTCTTGTTTCTGCAAAGAGTTCCGAATTTTAGATAAAAATAAGGTTGCTCGAGTTACTAAACTAGTAGCACTTCATCCGCGACAGGCGTTCAACTTGCTGAGTTCTCGACATTGCCTCAGTCAATAGTCAGGGAAGCTCGAGAAATTTCAACCGAGTTGACTAGACAGAAAGAGGTAGATATAAATTCTCAGTTCTTACTTAAGTCACCGCATTTTGTTTTAATTCTATTGAGGTTTTCATTAGAAAGAAACAGAAGGTCCACACTCGCCCAATCTCAAATCATAAGTAAAGAACTGAGTTACTTTATCTTTTAATTATAGGAATAGCTTTTGCTGCTTACCCTCCAGTTTATGTTCTCCCTTTTTAAAACAGTCAAACCCCTGGCTTATTCCATTTGACCCTGGAGATTATTCCATGGTTGTGACAACTACCAGCTCGTGAGTTGGGAAAATTCCCTTTGTTTTTGTTTTTGTTTGGTTTTTTTTATGGTGATATGGGTTGATTGCAACCAATTCTTTGAGTAACCTGCGTGTGTACTTTTTAACTAGCTATTGCGATTTACAAGACTTTCCATCTCGAAATTTTGAGCCAATTTTGGGGTGAGAGAGAAGTTTCGTTAGACAAAAGTGACCTTGACATCATAGTTTCCTCGAATATAAATAAATAAAATGGTAGGAATAATCCAATCATGAACCACAGATTGTTTAGATAGCAAAGATTCAACTACCAATAGAGTGCAAATCTGGGAAGTGTGCAACCTGAAAATTCATGCTCATTTGTTGAAGATCTGTCACTCGGCTCTTACATCTTTTTTTATCATTTCAGACGAGTCAGTTGTTGTCATCAGAGAGTCGCAAACAAATGGCAGTCTTTCAACTGGCAACTAAGCTTTTCCAAGCTGGACGTAACTCACGCCTGAACAAAGCTGGAGTGCAGGCTTACCTTTTGAGTCTTAAAAACCAGTTCGAGAGGGACTTTGTTCTTGAGGTAGAAGAATAGAATGGCGAAGGCTTTTTAGTACCACGTATTGATTGACATAAACAATCTTTCGCGATAAAAAGCATTTTTTTAAAAAAACCGCCTCAACCGCTTTTCACTGTACTTAAATTGTTTGGTGACAAAAATTGTTATTTACCTCTACTGGAGTCTTAGCCGATATATACAAAAAAGGTTGTCAGAATTGTGGTACTGAAGAAAAATGCTTGCGGTTTAAAGTTCTGGTTATCAATGCGCCAAGATTGATAAGGAAAATGCTTCTTATTTATCTAACCTATCTATTCACCTTCATTTTGTTAGCATTTATTACAAAAATTCACACCTATTTTCTTAAAACTGTGTTCTTCAGGAACCTAGGTTGTTGAATTTAAACAACACTCATTAATTTACACCGCCTGAGTTAATAAGAAGCACTTACTGAAGATAGAATATGCCTTTATCGGGTGACTATAATTAGTAAACAAGCTACCCTTACACATATTACAGAAAGTCTGCAGGTTGCCATCGATACCTGTTTTATATAGTTAAACAGTTTGTTGCTTTGAAAATAAACTCTGTTCTGGAGATGTGGGGGCCTATGGTTTCTGTTTTCATTGCGCAGCAGTCCAGCAACCTGGAGTGTTTCGTTAAAGATGAGCATTGAGAGGACATTTTTACTCTCACGAAACTAGAAAAAAAAAAA